ATTGATAAATCAGATACTATCATACCTTTAAACTGTAAAATAAATCAATAGAAATCAACAGAGAATAATTTTCGATTTTAGCTACATTAGTAATCCGTAATTAATTATGCACATTTATTAAATTAGCAAAAAATACTATATTATTATTTATTTAAACTTCAATTCTATGATAGAGAATAGAGTGAGGGATCCTTACTCGATTTGATGTCCGAAAAGCTAAGCTGTTCGACTGTGCCTACGGGAGATTCTCAGGTTCCCTAAATTTTTTTTTCAGAAATTAAAATGCGTTAGTAATACCTATAAATGTCCCAAACAAACCCAAAATCAGTCCGGGGGCCCACTTGGCCAATTTCAAAATTTCGGCACGGTAGCTCCACCGTGTTACGGCGACGGTGCCGCCGCCTGCGGTGATGACATGCCTCGGGTCGGTTGTTTTGGCTGTTTCAGTCAAATTTGACCGATTTTGCATCGATCCCTGCGAGAAAACACGTTAAAGGGCCTCGGTTAGCCCAAAAAATACAAAAAAATCAAAACTCACCGGCGGCGGGGCTCTACGGTGCGGCGGCTCCTCCGGCTCACGTTGCGGTTGGGTGTTTTGCTCTAGTCAACATATAGAGAAGGACACAGTGATCATAATGGTAGAAAAATTACACAGAACGATAATCGGGAAGGGCCTCATCAAAGACATTTTGTTAGGCCGTGCCGCCGAGCTTTGTCGGTGTTTTCCAGCCAATTGACCGATCTTTTTGCTTTGATTTGGCCATGGGTGAGCTTAAAATTGAATTTTGAGCAAAAAGAGAAGTTTTTACCTTTTTAGCAGTCGAAAAAGGTTCCAATGCGGCGGCAGGTGGCAGCGACTCCTTCTCGACAGCCAAGTCTTCTTCTCCGGCGAGGTGTTCTGGCGGTTAGGGTTAGGGTTTGGGTGCGAATATGAGTTATTTATATTCGTCCGCTTTTGATCTGGGCTGTCCATCGCGTTTGATCTAAACCGTCCGATCATGATTAAATAGGGAGTGAATCTAGACCGTTCATCGCGATCTAATCTAGACCATCTAATCGCGTTTGAATCTAGTCATTCGATCGCGTTTTGGAGGGAGCGCATCTGGACCGTCTGTGCGCGCGGGAACGGACCTGGGTCGGTCGATCGCGGGCACGTGGATCGCCTGCGTGACACCACGTCAGCGCCCGTTACAACTTAGCGCATCCTGATTCGTTGGGGCTGCTGACTGAGCATCCTACGTGGTAATTTTTTTAAAATTATGTTTTGACCCCTAGTTTCTGATTTTTCTTTCAAAAATACCTCTATAACCCAAATTTTTATCTATTTTCCTCAAAATTGCTTTCAATTTCATCATTCATCAATTTTACTTCATTTTTTACTCTAAATTAAAATTAAAAATTGAAAAAGTAAGAAATTATATTTATAAATAAATCTTAAATTACATTAAAATCAAATTTATGGTATTACAACGGAAATGTCCATTCTAAAAGACAAATAAAAATTAAAGAAATAAAATGAAAACCGAATAACTAAGCATTCTAAAACAACCTTCATTAGTACTTGAAGGGAGTTCGGATTGTGAACTACTCACAACCCTCTTGCTCATTGGGATCTGGATCTTAGTTCTCTTGATATGAAATAGTTAATGAAATGGTGAGCTACACTAGCCTAGTAAGAATATCACACTAATCATATATATGAAAAACATAAAAATTGGTAAAAAAAATAAAAAAAACAACTAATGGAGTCCTTGTTTTATTTAAATACATTTAAAACTTGAAGACATTTGTTTAATACTTACCATAACGAGTTTTTCAAAGACAACCTATGAAGATTCATATCAATATCACTTTTCACTTTCACACTTAAGAGAATGAGAAATAATAACTTTTATTTCTTACCTGCTTACTGATACTCCTAGGGGTTTAGGGGTGTCCCCCGTACTCGTGAACCTAATATCTAATTTTACAATTGATCGGCCGTCCCCATACCATGTCTGGTGGCGCCAAAGATTCCATCGTGTCAATACCTCGTTCGGTATGAGGATGAACCATATCTCCCAAACTTTTTCAGTAAAAAACTTTCCAGTCCCGTCCGACTGAGGTAACGTTCATGATAAGGTTCCCTATGTACCGGGCTCATCCAACCTTTTCTTGGATAACCAGTAAGTCTTTCACATACAGATTTTCATCAATAAATAACTAATAAACTCATACCCATATCTCATATCACATTTACATATTAATTAAACTACATTCATGCTTACGGTATATAACCAAAATATCCAGATAAGTTGATAAGATTATTGAACTATAAATTAAAAACATGTACTATACGAAAATCAAGCAAGTAGGACAATACAAGAAAATAAACAGAAAATCAAGACAATTGTGAACTAATTGGTTCTAACTCCACTAGTAACCTGTAATTATTTTTAGAATTTTCTATTTTTTCACAAAAATACAAAATTATACATCGTTAAACCTCAATTTATCGTAATGGAGAATAAGGTGAGGGATTCTTACCCAGATCGGTGTTTCGAGATATCAAGCTGTCTACTACGCCTCATAACAGGTACTGGGTTCCCTGAGTTTTTCTTGTGGAATTCAAAACACTCGTCACATACCTAAAAATACCCCCAAAAATCTAAAATCGGTGTCTAAAACTCATTTAGGCCAATTTTGGGGTTCCGGCACGGTGACGCTGCCGTGCTCCGCCACTAGCTCCGCCATCCACAACGGCGGTTTGCCTCAGCCTGGCCAATTTTGACCAATTTTGACCATATCTCTATATAAAAACATGTTAGGGACCTCGATTGGTCAGGAAATCATAAAAAAACTAAACCTACCGGCAGGGGAAACCTCCGGGTGCGGTGGCTTTATCAGTCCTCCTTCGCAGCTGAGGTTCTTTCTTTGGCTATCTGGCATAGAAAAGGACGATGAACACAATGATCAAAAAATTACATGAAATGGGAATTGAGAAGGAGCTCATCAGAGATATTTTGGAGTTTTAGTCGCAGCGGCTCCGCCAGGCTTTGCACGTAGTTTTCAGCTTATTCGTCGTCCCTCTTCCTCCTATTTGACTACTGGAGTACTTGAAATCAAATTCCGAGCGGGTAGGGAGAATTTTTACCTTTTTTGGCAGTCGGCAGTGGCTCTAGTGTGGTGGCAGTCGGCGATCAGCCTCTTACTTCGGTGTTTGGTTCTTTTTTTCGGGCGGGGGCTGGCGACTAGGGTTTAGGTTCTCGTATGATGCAAAATATTTATAATCATCCTGCATTGATCTGGGTCGTCCATCATAATCGATCTCATCTATCTGATCGCGTATAAAGAGGAAACGAATCTGGATCGTTCATCGTGATTGATCTCAATCGTCCGATCGCACCTAAGAGAGAAATGAATCCTCGCCATCCGATCGCGGGGCACGCAGATTGCCAGCATGGCCTCCCATGTGGCACTGATGTCAGCGTGTTTTACCACACGGCGCGCTCCAATTCGTCGAGACTACTGACTGAGCGGTTCTATGTGGCCGAACTTTTTCTATTTGCACTTTGACCCCTGTTTCTAATTTTGTTTCAAAAATATCTCAGAACCCAAAATTTTATATTTTTTTTTTCTCAAAATTGTTTTCAATCTCGTCTCTAATTTATTTTTTTCAAAATTTCACTTAAATAAAAATAAAATAAACTAATCAATTATTTTAAATTAATAATTAAAAAATAAAAATTTTATCTCGAATTATTCTTCGGGTCTTATACCTCATTAATTACTTATTTGAGACAGATCAAGAAAAGTTAATTGGTTTAATAATTATCTCTAATTATGATTATGAACATTAAAATTCAAATTTCGATTTATGTTTATAATTAAAAATTTATAAATTTAAATGTTGAAAAATGATGAAGTTGTTTTTACGAGACGAGAACGATGAGATGAGGTAACAAGTTTTAACCCAAAAAAAATCATTTTAAGATAAATTATTATTTTAATAACTTAATTAATTATTATTTATAATTAATTTTCATATATAATATAATATTTAAATTTATAAAATTATTTCAATTCAT